CATCGTCTCTAACCAACGACAATCCTCATCCCTTGGGCCCCAACCTAGACTTCACCTCCACACAGTAATCGCGGTTCTGCCCCGTTTAGCCTGCTCGATGTAGTAATGTGTATGAGCCGGGAACCCATAAGAAAAGAAATGCTAGCAAAGCTGGTTGTGTCTGGTTCGCCATTGGTTGCAAAGACAGATAATCTATCCAAGGCTATCTTCGGTCTACTCTATCTGAGGCGGTATAACTCGAGTATGCCAGGGATTATTAATGAAGTGAACATGTTTATTGGCAGTTGAATAATTCAATAAAATTGATACACTTTGATACACAAAGTCTTGGTTACGATTTTATTGCCGGCCAGCTAGGAGGTGCAGGGTTTCATTTCAATCACGCTTCGAATACAGAAATCCGGACGAAATTTTCGCATGTCACCACGTATAATAATATTTATGATAACATTAGTATATAACAGTGGACAAAGTTTCCGGCACGTTCCGTCCGGGAATCTTGTTTCGTAATTACGCCACACTTCATGCACTGAAACCCGTTTTGCATCATTGCATTCCAGAGATCTTCGCTTCCGCCTCACGTGACGNCAGTATTCGAATTTGGGATATTCGTCTCAAATCAGACACAGTTAATTTCCGTGGTACGTTTTTTGCCTTTTCTATGATCTCTTTTTCGTGATTTTTCTTTCCCTGCATAGACCTTTGTGTAAACCTATTGTCAATTATTGCAGATTCTATCATATCCGATCTGCAGCTTGAGGTTCATCTTTCTTTTCAATTCATCAGACTCAGTTTTTCCCCACAGTTTGTGGCTCTGAACATTATGTTGATGTGAGACTGTGTTTTATGTGTGTGTGTGTGTGTGTGTGTTACAAACTAAGTGATATGTATGACTGAGTGTCTTCAACAGTGGCGCTCATGCACCTCAATTTCTTTGAAACCTTCAACACTGCTCTTAGCTTTCCAGTTGTTTCTTCTACCCCTTCATTTAAGTAGACAGCCAACAAATAGCAACCAAAACGGCTGCATGAAAGTGCGTGGTCATTGGTTGTTCAAACTGAGAACTGACCCTGTTTTGGTTTGCTGCGAAGCACATCTCACTGGATGGGGTAGCTAGTATCGTTCAGAAATACTAGTCACAGTAGACGTGTCATATCCTCCTGAATAGGTCCTAATTTACTCACTCACCCGTTGCGCGATGATGCTGAAAGCTGTAACGCTCTATCTTGACCTAACCTATGGAACTATTTATTGGTTGGCGGTTTTGCACGTAATGCACAGCAAGCCGTATACTTTCTGAGTTCAATGTAGAAGTTTAGTACATGCTTCCTCCCCTTGCGTGCTCACTCCTTCTTTGTGTACACATTCTGAGGTTGCTTCCGGTTATCCGTGTTTGATCTGTTACATTTCACGGTTTCGCGACAACAAATAGCGCGTAGAGTTTTCGAACTTTTTGTTGATGGACTTCATTTCGACTCCATTTTAGGTACACCGGGTACCTCTAGCGTTGGCCTCCTTTCACAGTGTCACCTTCCTGATTGGTCTGCGCAATCTGTGGTGGAGAGCTCGCTCACTCGTCGACCCCGCACACCGCGTCGTCAACCGGTAACTAAAAACTAACCACATGATCGCTGTGTTCTTCATTATACTGCATTCCCATTCCCATGGACTAAATTAATATACAACAACTGTTGGTTTTCCTTTTACTCCGTATATTGGGTCGAAACACTGGTTTCGATGCACAATTGGTTGTGGAATCGGAGTCATTTGTCAGTGTTAAACTACATACGATCATCTCCTGCCATTATCCCGTGGGTTTTCAACTCAGGTTTTGGGGTTAGAACTTTGTATCAGTAAAACGAATGCGTAACAGGTGGCCACAGAAGGGAACATTTGTTTGACACTAATGTTTCAATTATTTAAACCTTACTGGAAGCTAAACTTCAGGGATAGATGCAATGCTGATATCATACAAATGATATATTCATAAACGTTCGGTATTTCCAGCCCTGGTAGTGTACTATAACCCAAATGTTTCGATCTGAATGCGCTCTCTGTTTTTGTTGGAAATCATTAAAGGTGAAAAAATTTTGTTAAAATGATCTGGATGTTCACACTGTAATCTGGAATCTTGTGCTAAATAATCGTCCAATTGTTTTTCTTCTCGGAAAAACAACAGCATGAAATGAAAGAAAATAAATAGATGAGTTTAGGTGTTTTGTATGCAAAAATGTGGTCTATTGAGGGGTGTCAGGAAGATTCTGGGGTCTAGAATGCGATCTATCGGTTTCTTCCTGTTTCGCAGCTCGAATATGAGTTTTATTACCGTACGCTCAAATCCTAATTGTGTTTTTGAAATGCGAAACACGTTAAGGGCTCGTTTGAAATGGAATCAAATCTATAACAGCTGCATCAGGATTTCCCCCTTGTTATCTCAGCCAGAAATAATTTTCTGCGCATTTCTAGTAGTGGTACATGGTGCACTCATTTTTTGTCGTGGTTTTTACCGTCCATCAGTTACGACAAAATGTAAAGCACTGCTAGTGGACCGAGGTGCAATAGTTGTGGGCGCTTACAAGATTGCCCAAAAGCTCACCAGCATTGCATTCTAAAGAGAACTGCAGGTTTTCATTCTCTACTATTCGGTATAACCGTGCAGTTTTGCGTTCCAAGGTCACTGCGCACATGTAGTTCCTTACTCTCATTCTTTGCCCTCATAATGATTTGAAAGCTGTGTTGCACCCAGTGCCATTTTCTCAGAACCACAAACCCACGAGAACTGCAGTCCAAGTTACCATACGACATTTTCATTTGTACCTATTTTTCAGACGGACGCTCAAAGTGTTACATCGGTTGTATTTAAAAATGAGAATACGTTACTTTCTGCTGGATCCACAGACGGGTGAGTTGTGTGTTTTATTCGGCCGCGTCTATGAGAAATGATTTAGACAAATTGCGATTTCTTGTTGTGGTCAGACATTTTGACCAACTGAGCTCGCTGAATCTAAACGTGTTCGTGGTATCGGTAAAAAACGGAACTGTTTCCATTCTCCGACAATCGTTGTCTATGATTGATACCTTCGTTTTTGCTTTTCGTAACGGATTCCGATTGGTTTCGCTTTGACCAAAACCAGACTCCTAATCCCCTCGGATCCGCATTTGCGAAGTCAATTGCCCCGGACTCGTTAGGCACGTGTTTGAACTCCACTGTGCGTGAACTGACCGACTTATCGACGATCCTGGTCACTGCAGTATTTAGCCAGGTGTAGGGTGGGGCTCAAGGGCTCGTTCAGTTGAAAGTGTGCTCCTGCGATCCTCTGACCTTATTCCACAAAAACACCCTTTTTGTCTTCAAGATCAGCTTGAGGGCGAATAGAATACGAAGCCTCGCTGCGAAAGTTTTTCACCTCTATAGTCACTTTACGTGCCATCCTTAAAAGGTAGCGATATGTATATCTGGAGTGACCTTGTTTAGCAACCGCTGATGCCTCAAGATATTATCCAAAATCATTCTGAGTGGCCGTTCTGAAGGAAAACTTCTCATGAAAATCTCATTTCCCTCTCCATACCATTGTGGTGTGTGCGCATTCTCCGCACCCTGTTGGCTAGGTACTAATTTGCGTTTTTTCTTGTTCCAATAGCATATACTGATTATTCCACAATCTTTTTCGATGAATGTTGTACTGGAAACTTTCGTCGAACTGATAACTTAGTAGGACGTCCGTGAATGTTCTCTGTTCATTCTCTTTCTCCCGAGTGCTGTTTATATTTGGGTGTTGTGAGTTAAGCCCTTGCAAAAGTCTAGAGACAACCTCTGAAGACGACATCTGAACAAACATGAATTGGCAATTCGTTTCTGTCCTGGGGTGAGCTGGTTGGCACAGTGGCAACGCACACACCTTCCATGTGATGGGTCCGGATTTCCAATCTCGAACGGGACGATGGATATAAACTACTGATGAGCTCTAATAAGAGCGAAAGTCGAGTGCAGTGCTTCCGAGTGTATGTTTGAATCGATAAACTGAGGATTGTGCATGAAGGTGAAGTCTGAGCAGTGATCAGTTCTAATCAATTAATCTAGTCAGTTAATTAATAGTCAAGAGTTTTTGCTTGATTAGTAACTTCACATAACTTTAGAAAGGATCGTGTCTTGCGCGAGCCCGACTCCTCACAATCACTTCATTACCTTGAAACTGGACCGTGGTACGTCTGCCAAGAAAAAATGTTCATGTGGAACCCTTTCTTCCTTGATTCATCCGTCCAAACGATTTACCGTCACGCCTAAAAGTATCTATTTGTTTGTTGTTGATGTCGACCAATTCCAGAACTTGAATTTGTTTTTTTGCCCGTGTCGCGCTACTTTGAATAAGGGATGTTGCATGGATTCCCATAGTAAGCCTATGGTTGTCGAGGTTCTTCTGATATGCTAATCGTGGTGATTATTATTATTATTACCATCATCATTATTACTTTCCTATTGTACTGCGTAGCGCTTGTTACATCTTCAACTTTTATAATGATTATTGTTCGGAGGTGGCAGTCATTTACATAATAAATTTTTGGCGTACCACAGGTAATATTACCCTTATTTATTTCAACGAGCTGCATCGGCGTTCGCCTTGTTCCCTACGCATCCTGGAATCGTGGGTAGCCAAAAGAGCAACCGAAACCGCCGCACGGAAATGCATGCTTAATGATTATAAAATTCGATG